TATCATTCATTACTTTCACAGACCACTTAATCCAAGAGTGTTTCTTTCTCTTCTCTCTGTTGTTGACCCTGTCATTACAGATGATAAATGATGTGCATGTGCTTGTACCCAGTCACCTAGGAGCCCTGGAATTGCATGGCATTGCGTAGGTTTTACTGTGGTATGAGTAACATTGTAAGATCAAATCTAGCCCCATTATCCGAGTTATTCCACCTGCTAAGCAGACTCTATAAAGGACTGACATCACTGTGAGGAGAGGCTACTGAGAAAACAGTGAATGGTGAGGAGCTGCTGAAGATTTCTTCCATCTTTTAAAATAGATTCTCACTGACATCACTGCTTCTGTTACTGAGGTAATCCAAAGGATTTTAGATTTTAAAGGCAACAAGAATTTTATACATTTTCCTTGTGAACAAACCACTCTTGATACACTGGAGGAAAGTATCAAGTATTACTAAGTACAGTGGGCTGGGTTTACATGCTGAATATGTTGACAAGCAATCAGCAATATTGAAGGACCAACAATAGAAAGCATGGGATTTTTTTTATTTCCTGGAATGTAATGTGGTTTGTGTTGTATATTGTGAACAGCAGTGGGACAGAGCTTTCTGTTACACAATACCTTACTGGGCACTTTTTTTCCTATGTAGTTTTTCCCTTTTCTCTTAATCTTCCCATTATTTAATTTTTCCTGTTCTTTACCGTAGCCTCCAAACCTACAAGCCTGTATAACAAAGAAGATAAAAGCCTAATTCATCTAGTTAACAGTATATAGCTTTGTGTGGAAGCTCTTCCTATAGGATTTGGATCTCTGAGATACTTAGGTGTTTCTCAGTCCTGGGGTGTCCAAGCTCCTATTTCACTAACCTTGTCTGCTGTCCTAGTCCAGTGTCATGTGCTGTGTTTCCTGCCTCCTCCCTTGTGCACTCCCCTTCTCAGCGCAGTAGAATGTCATTTCTGTGCTGCAGTGTAACGTCAGTTTTGCTTGTCTTCATTTGTTCTAAATCCTGGTGGGAACTGCAGTCCACGTGCAGTCCTGGAAGGTGTAGATTCAGTGGTGTAGGGCTTGAGCTTTTCTAAAAACACACGGGGTGGTGGTTGGAAACCAGCTGGGTGGCGATAGGCCAGGCGACAGCACCTGCTGTTCCCCACTTGTCAGTGTGCCTCTGGGCTTGGCTGCAGCACTCACCTAACCTGCGGTCAAATAACAGGAGTAGCTGGAACAGCCTACCCTCAGCGTTGTGCAACTAACAACTACTCTGTTTTCATCAAAGATGATAGAGGAGGTGGAAGGGAAAAAAAAAGAACAGCAACGCAGCATTACAATCTTATCAGTGTCAGCTTGTGGTTTGGCAGCCTTTTTCTCGCCAGGTGCCAGCTGCATGCTTCTTTTCTGGTGTGGGGGAAAAGTTATTTAGCTAGTGCTTCCAAGTGCTTCCTGACAGGTAATATAGCTTCAGTTCAAAATATGGAAAGTTCCCTTTAGCTTGTTTTCCACGACACCTGCTTTCTGCCATACAGATCTGAGAAGGCAGGAACCTCTCTGTGCAGCCCTTTACTCAAAAAGCTATTCAGTAGGAAGTATTCAGAGGAATTTAGCAAGAGTAAGGGCCAAATCAGAGATGTAGCTGTGTGGGTATAAGACTTTGGGTTTTATTGTTTCTGAAGGAATAGCAAGTAATGATTCTAAGGGAAGTGAATTCAAGCTGTTACAAGCATACTGATGACCAAAGAAATGCCTTTTTCTGCATTCTTGCGAGCTGCTGTTGGCGCTGCTGGCAACTGGTTAGTAGCAGTACTTATGCATTTTCTGGTGATGATGTGATGCTGTGCCATCCCTGCTGTCTGGGGGACACCTGGCATCCTGTGGCCTAGAATTTGCTAGCAATGGTCTATAAGATGCAACAGTTTTTATCCATGTTCCTTGCCCTCCCAATGCAGCATTGCACCATTTTAAGTTGGAGTCCTCATTTGAAGTGAACAAACTGTTTGAGTTCCCTTCATGCTGAGTCTGGCCACCTGGTTGTGCAACTGGAGTAGTAATGGCTGTCTTCTGCTGTGCCTTTTGTGTCTTAGCTGACTTTTGCATAGCTTGAGCTTGCAACTTCTGATAGTCCCAGAGTGAGATTTCACATGCCTCTCACCCCATGAGGAGAGGGGAAAGGAATAGTAGCTCCTGCTGCTTCAGGATATGTGGCAAACCGTAGGAGCTGCAGCTGAGAAAAGTCGTACCTAGTGGGATCTAGAGGAATTGAGGCCTGATTTGGAGGCTTCTAATCCTCCCTTTCCTGTTGTTATAGCAGAGTGCAGGCACCTCATGTGTGTAAGGATCCCCTTGGACACAGCTCATCTGACAGATCTCAGCTCAGGCTGGCTCCTGGCGCCTCAGTCAATGAAGTGTGTAGAGAAGGATTTTTCACCCGGAGTGTGGGCAGGTTAGGGGCAGTTTGCACTGCAGAGTTGAAACGTTGCATTGGATGATTTGAATGGAAGGTTTTGCTTTTCATGGTTGCTCAGGGTGATTTAAGAGTAGGCAAATGAGAGAAGAGGGGGCAGATGGCAGTCACAGCATGGCTGGCAGGGAAAGTGGCTGAGTGCTGTAAGTAGGAAAAGTAAATGTTCTCATAAGCAGAACCAGCTGCTGAGCTGTGCTGGAGTTTACAATGCCATTTTTTTTTTTTCAATGCAGCCTTCAACTGACCAAAGTTTGCATTCATGAGAGCCTTTGTGGCTAGTCGAAGTGCGATTAGTGTTAGTATGAATAAAGTTTACAAGAATATTGCATTAGAAGCGCTCTTTCAGTCATTCTGAAAAGCTGTGGTTTTAATTATTCATACGAAATATTAATCTGGCACTCAGAAGTGGCCCAAGATAAGTGGCAGGCAAGAAAACTGAAAGGTGTGTTGCTGATTTATTCAGTGTGGGCCATCATTCAGGATCTAGAAACACCATCAGGTGACCATTCTGAGAAACAATGGAGCAAAACGTCTTCAATTTTAGACGTCTCCATTTCAGCTCCAAACCTTTCATTTAATCTGTTTGTTTTTTTTTCACAAACTCAACCTTCCCCTACTCTTGTTTGATAGTTATTAGAATTTCTTGCATAGCTTTTTTCTTCATCTGATAGAGACTTCTTAGCTGAAGGTGCATGTGGGGAGGAGAAACAATGAAGAAATAGAGTGGGAATAGTGCTGTTTATGGTAGCAAAAGAGGTGCATAATTAAATTTCTGATTGCAGAGATTTCATGCTTTATGTAAAAGTTCCTGAGAGTTGAAGAATTCAGTTATTGTTTCATGGGAAGGGTTTTTTTTTTTTTTTTTTTTTTGGTGTTTTCCCCTCCCACCCCGTGCCGAGTCATGGGACTTTTTCTTCTTCCATTGTCCTAGGCTCTGGTCCAGAATATGCTTTAGTTTGTGGCAGGGAAGTCGGTAGAGCTGACTACAAGATTAAAAAGTATCCTGGAACAAACTTCAGGCTTCCTGTTGTGATTGTGAGCTTAAAGGGTGGCATCTGAGCATCACTGAAGTCAGCAGAATTATTTCCAGTGATTGCAGTAGACTTTGGATTATACCGTTAAAGATGATCCTTGCAATTTGCTTGGTGTTTCTGAGAGGTATTCCTTTTTCAATTAGTATTTTTCAGAGTCATTATTGGCTAGGTAATCCGCAACACTATGGCAGTTCATAGTGCTTCCAGTCAGCAGTTTGATGACCAAATACATGTTGGTCCTTGGGTGACTGTTGGCCATTGACTTGTTGGAGATTTTGGAAATTTTAAATTACGGGCCTGCATCTAGTTTGAAGTGTTGTGGCCTCTGGGAGCTGCACAAATGGGGAAAAGACCCAAGCAATGGAGACTGCCTCTTCATTTGCAGACTTTTCAGTCTTCTTCCATGCACAGATTATCAGGTAAAGACTTCGTTGTGTTTGATGTCATCTAATAAATACCAGCTCTTCTGTTTATGTAGCTGCTAATTCGTGTCATCACCTGCATGTCTACAAGGGATGTAACTAGGACTTGACAGGCTGCGGTGTATCAAGTCAATTCTATTCTTAAGTAATATACACACAGTTTGCTGCAGAAGGAGAATTTCTCATCTGCCGGTATATTTTTGATTCCAGTTCCTTATGAGTTTTCGATGTCAAAGAAGTATGAGGTGCTGAAATCTGACAAAACTGAGTAATAAGAGCACATTTCAGTTATTGCTGCAGTATTTGCATCTAAAATGGCTGGATTTCAAACAAAAATGTTTCCCCCAAACAAAGTAATTCCATCCCAGAAAATCGGTAATCTTGTCATAAAAGTTTCCAATAGTAGGATTTCCGGGGTAGTGTAGTGCTGTCTGATTGCTGGTCATTCTGATTATGGCTGACAGGATCTGCAAATCTCCTTGTATGCACATGAGGTATTCCTGTAGGTTCTATGCCTTTCAAGCATCGCTGACAGCTTTTGCCTGTACTTGTCTAACCTTGACCTTTCCATATACATCTACAGGCCTTAGTCTTTTCTACAGATTATGGGTGTGTTAACCCTTAAGATCAGAAGTGAGGAGCACTATTCGAAGTTTTAAAGGCAATGTAGAGAAAACCTGGAAGTTCTTCCTTTAAAGGAAGACACCTGTTAGAACTTTTTATCTACTGCCAAAATAGTATGTAAGTAGCTAGTCCATTGATATTTAAGATTACATTATTTCCCGGTAGAGAAATACGAAAATAAGATATTCCTTAACCTTGAACATCTGGAAATAGTTTAGGGCAGGTGCTTAAAACAAAACCAAAACCTTTCTGAAAACTGTGGCTGTGTGTCAGGGTCTAATAATCTGGTCTTCTATGTTTTCTTGTCTGTAAGTGCTTAGTCACTTGGTCACTGAAGTCACTGTTGTGTCTCTCAGATGACTGTATGGGTATGTATAAAAGGATAACCTTATTGAAGCAGGTGTAGTAGACATGCAGTTATTGTAGAAATGCCTGAAATTCTCAACCTCTGTCTTCTTTTGCAGCTGGAAGAAGGAGAATACTTTGCTAAAATGGTGATAGACCTGGGTGAGGATGCTGGAGAGTCCCTAGCAAAGGGTTACTTGGCACTGGGTCTGTCATATAGTCTTCAGGCTACTGACGGTGAGTTATCCTGTTTGTCAGGTATGCTATATGAAACATCTGTTCTGATTCTTGGGTGCAAGCAGTAGGAAATGAATTAGAAACTTTGCCTTTAGTGGTGGCTGGATTTAGAAAATAATCAGATCCCAAGACAAGCAGGACTGTTCAATTCCTCAGAGAACTGTCCTCTATGGTAATAGAAGTGAAGCTTTTAAGTAAAGGAAGAAACTCAAATCATTGCTTAGGAGATGTTTCTCTGACTGTATGCAATGATTCTTGGTGTGATTCATTTGGATATTTGTAATACACTTATTTCACTTATTTGCACAACAAAAAATGGAACTTTCGATCTATTTTCGTATTTTTGTCACCCACTCATGTATCACATAAAGAAATACAGTCCAAGAACTGGAGGCAGAAATGCCTGACTTCGGTTCCTGGCGTGATACTGATTCCCTGCAGAGATTCAACCCCTCCCTGATGTAGTTTCTTTCTCTGCTTAGAAGTAAACAAGATAAAAATATCTCTCTCATTGGTACATATGGATTGACTAGATACAAATCACTGAAAGTAAAAACTTAATTTTTTAATACTGATTACTTGGTTTTTATGTGATTAGACTGTGCTTCTGTAGAATTGGTGCTTTGTAGCCTGGAGGGCTGAAAGTCCTGTGGCTGGGTGAGATCTAGATTTGACCTTCATCAGGCTCACAGCTGGGGACAGCCTTCCTTTCTCTGTGATTTCTAACATAGGTAAAAGGCCTCCTAATACAGCTTCTTTAAATAATAGCTGAGCTGTTTTGTTTCCTAAGCAGTTTGGCAGTCCAAACCGTATGTTTTTCTGTCAGATGTGTTCCACAGAAAGAAATTTCTTAGGGCAAATGAGCCTGAAACAAAGCTAAAGTGACAGTTCGTATAGCATTGTGGAAGTGCTCAGATCTTGCAAGTTACACCAAAATTCTGTAAAGCATGTGATTGAGGAAGTGGCCTGTACTCTTCAGTAGTGCAGTATGTTGTTTTTTTTTCACCCAGTCATCAATCAGGCCTTCTGAGAACAGCTTTCCAGCATGGAGAGAAACATGCATTGGTGCTTTCTGTAGTTCTCCATGTCTCTGACTTTGAATAGTTCCCCTTACAAAGGCTGTGTCAAGAAATGTACGTCCTTCCTAATCTGAATTTTGTTGTTTTTGGTTTTTTAATGTTGTTTTTTGTTTTGTTTTTAAATAGTTCATTAAACATTGAGTTCTGCTTTATAGCCTAGTTCCTTAGGGCATTTGACCTAGATTTTGTATGAACTGTCCCTAAAGCTGTATGAGATCCCAGAGACTGTTTTCAGAGATAGGAAGATTTTTGTCTTAAGTCCATTACAATCTATTTATTATTCTCTATGGAAAGAAGAAGGTTTTTAAAGAATGGAGTTGTAGAGGCATGTATTGTGGTCTGGCTCTAAACATACCTTGGTAAAGCAAAATAGAAATTGGAAACTCTCATGGAAGAGAAGTTTTCCAGGTATACAGCTGTTTAGCTCAAGTGTTGTAGTAAGTGATCTTTGTAACATAAAATAAACAATCATTGCAGCAGTTACCTAGTATGATTTTGTTGTGCAACATTGGAATACCTGCCTTCTCATCCTTGTATCTGTAGCCAGTAGATCAGTAGAACCACTGTGCAGTTATTTGGGAAAAATCTGAAGCGTGTATTTTCATCTTCAGGCTACATTTTATTAATTCCAATAAAATAGATCATTGTTCTTCAAAAACATGGTAATCATGGATACACAGCAGCATTTTAGTAGCAAAGTCAAATTTACACTAGTGAGACATTAAAAAACAAAACAAAACAAAAAAACCAAGCTTTTGTTAGTGAAAAATCACAAATAGAACACGTTGAAAGGAAGACAACTACTCTGCTATTATGCTGCTTTATAGTCTTATATCACTGTGTTTGTACCAGTTCATAGTGATATATGCAGACATGCAAACATCTGTGTGTATATATATGACTTCTGTAGCTTCCCACTTAAGCTGATATTCAGTTAATCATCGTTTTCAGAGACCTTCAACCAACTGTCTTATAAAGGTTGCAGCAGTAATATAAAGCTGCCTTCCAACCGAGGTTAGATTTTCTCTCTTTAATATAATTTCAGTAAATATTTATCATCCTGTGTGCCAAAGGCGCTGAGGAGCTGTATTAGAGCCCTTCCTTTATGACCACTTTTTAGCAAGTGCATTTAGCAGAGATGAGAAGATAGAATCCTACTGAATGATGATTCAAAGAACTCATGGGAGCATTCGATAGACTCATTTTACAACTATTAGATTTACTCCTGGATGAAATAAGATTTTCTGAAACTTGTGCTGGCTATAAGTATGTAGCTTTGCAGTCCTTAATGTCTGATTATGTGTTTTTTGGAAGAGGACTCTATGAAGTTGCTGAAAGATGTGTCCTCAGAGGAAGTCATAGCTGCTTTTGTCTCATTCTTAAAAGCGTATATTTCTTGTTCATACAGAATGTCCATACATCTAAATTTTCTACATCCCAAATATGTTCCCAGTGAGGCAATTTTCAACAGCAAACCTTTTGCTTCTTGTAATTCCAGTTTTAGTGTAAGCTGCATTGTCAATTTTGCCTCATGAGGGATTCACTAGAGAAGGGAAAAGTGAGATGAATTTAGCACAGGCTGAAGAGGAGAGACAAGTCCAGCATGCTTTGTGAAATAAAACTGCTCTTATCTAATGTCAGTTCCACACATACTGTTAAAGCTCAGTACAAACAAACAACAGTAACAAACCTTCACTCTCTTTACAGAAATGAGAGAAAGAGTGTACTGCATCTCTGTTCTCATTTAGAATTCTGTTACAAGGCCACAAAGTCAGAGACTGAATTGGAAAATTTTCCTGGTGTTATAAATAATCGGTAAACTGTTAATGGTAAATGTTAATCAGTATGCTAATGTTAATCAGTACCAGTTAATGTTAAAAAGAGACATTAAAATTAAAAATGCATTATTAGTGAACAAACACACCTTTTTTGCATCTGGAGATGACGATCAGCACATGCAATCATTAACTGTGATTTTGGATACTGAAACTGCATAACTTGCTGTATTAGTTGTCAGAAATGTATTTTTGAATTCCATCTCTCCAACCCACTTCTTAATATTGTGATTCACGTAATAGAAGAGTGCTGGAAAACACAAACTAGATTATTTTCTCATAAAATTAATGTGCTACAAAAATAGACCTGATTATGCTGCAATTGCTTATGGTTTTTCAGTCCAGAGTATATGGACTGTCTCAGTGTATATTTAGTTTTGATGCTGGCCCCCAGCATTGCTATTTCAGTCTATGCACTCACTGCTTACTATGCCGCACCTTCCTACTAACACAGTTTACCTTCCTCTGTGTTTTCAAATGTGACTTCAGAGCTTTGTATTTTGGTATCCAAAGGTTGAAAAATCTGCTGATTTTTAGTCAACAAAGTGTGCTTCAAAGAGTAAATATTAAGCTTCTAAGGTGATGTTTGAAAAGTACTGTTCTTAGAGGAACACCTGAGGTTTTAGAAACTTAAAATCCCCCGTGCTGTCTCTCTTACTTCGGTTAGACTGTGCTTTGCTCTGCTTTTATTTTAGTCTAAATAATGTGTTCTGTTGCCTTTTTATTTGTAAAACTGTCACAGCTGAGCTCATGATAGTGACTTCTTGCTGTGTAAGAAAAAAAAGTCTAATTCTGGTAAGGAGAGGGAAAGGGCATGTGTGAGGAGGGGCACTGGAGTAGGAGGAACTTGCACAGGTTTTGTCAACTTGAGGCATAAATATTGAACACTGAGTCATGTCATCTCTGTATTTATTCATCTAGCGTGTACGTGTGTTATCTCTGATAAAGACCTAGCAATATATGGGAGAGGAGCAGTAGGAAGAACCTAAAAGATCACAATAAAGATGTTCCCAATCTGTTAACTATTTCAGCTTACTGCTCTCATGTCTGCCCTCCAGTACCAGTACATTTGGGAGTTTTGTTCATTTTATGCAAAGCTGACTTAAATGTGCTAAAAATAGATTCAGCTGAGCTAGATGTGTAAAGGTACAGTGTTCTTCCAAATTCAGCTCCCTGTTTTTCTGCATTTTGATTGAAAATTTTTGCCATATTGAGGTAATGATCAATGGCCCAGCCTCTCTTGCAGACAGATTTTGTGTAAAAATGCACATTTTTCTGCTTTGAAAGAGAGGGAAGAACTTAAGAATTGCTTTTAAGAGCTTCCTCTTAACTCCACTTGGCCTCTGTGCTTGGGATTGGTCTTGAAGACTGTGTTGTAAAACATTGGATCAGAGCCTGTGAATCACATTTTGAGCTCGGTTTTTGTTTAGCAGAAATACGCTTTGACTTTAACTATAAACGTGTTCAGTCATCACTTCAGCTTTCCTTCTCTTTCATCTCTCCCAAAATCACTTAGTTGCTTTTTTATAGAAATGGAAGAACTCAAATTTCAATTTGTTTGGCCAAATCAAACACAAATCTAGAGACAGACAAGCAGATTTGCAACTTTGCAACTGAATATGCAGTTCATGCTGTGGGAAGTGGGACTCGCATGTCCCACCTCATCAGTGCCAGCATCATTTCCACCAAATATTGGTACTCTTACTTTCTAAGTTGAACAGCCATTCAGTCAAGTCATACCAGACTGAACCCAAAAGTTCTTCTAGCTTTTCATTTTGTGGTTATTTGGAGGGTGAATGTAAAATCTCTTTCCATCTTCCTCACTGTGTAATGTGTCTCTAGAATTACTTGGTTACATGTATATATATATAGGGAATCTCGTAGTTTCCATAAGGAGCACAATCTGACATGTTCTTTCTGGGTGAACGCTCACAGCTGTGATCAAATCCTTTCTAGCATCTCTTCAGGTATTTTTACATGAATGTCAATCATGATTTTCTAAAATACTTTTCTGTAAGCTTTGCCCCTTCATTGTTTTTTTGGTATTTGGCAGTGGACCAGAATATTCAATTTAAGGATATTGAGAGTGAAGTGTTTCCAGCTTTTTATAAATGCTATGTTTTGCATGAAAGCACATATCTTCAAATTTGTTCTTTGAATTATGTATTTTTGTTCAGTTTTTACTATTTAGAGCAGAATTTATGAGGTAAGCAGTTTTTTTTATTTATGTGATTTGGAAAATCCTGAAGATTGCTGTTCCTCGCAGATAGAGCTGATGTTTAGAAGAACTATTGAAAAGCATAGGAGTGAAAAAGGTTTGATGACTGCAACTACTTAGGAAAAATAAATTGTTTTTAAAGTTTCACTTACTAGCATGTTGGATAATCTAAAGAAACTTATTACCTTTGTACAACTCGTAAAAGAACACAACTCTTAACTTATACGAGTATTTGATTTTGGGGGGGTTTTGTTGCTGAAGTAGATACTATTTACTATCTTTCTTTTCTGGAGCTTACATTGGCTTCATATAGGAAGTGAAATATATTCATAGGTGGATGTTTGCCGAATGATTAACTGCTTGCCTCTTTCTTGTACTGTTGATCAGCAGCTTCCAAATTCAAAACAAATAGAATGAGAAACAACTGCTATGTAAAATCTAAAAACTTAAGATCCAGAGCAAAGCAGCCAACTAGTGTGCTTCTGAACTTTATTGTTAGCTTTCCAGATATTCCGGATTTAAGGGAGCCCTTCTTCTCCCAAGTTCTTCTTCCTTTAATGATGATGGTATTTTATGATGCTCTGGTGTAACAAGAGATTGATGATTCTTCTCATTAGAGCTCAAATTAAGTCATACATCGGATGAGCCTAGTGGATGGGATCCTTTGGCAATTAGATGCACCAAGGAGGGCAAAGTGGCTCCTCCTTGCCACTTATCTGCCACATCTGAAGGAACCTGAATGTTTGTTGTGGTCCAGGGGAAATGCTGTGTTGTCAAGGACTGTGTCACGGAGTTGTAAATCTGGCTTCTGGTATTCCTGTTCCACCTGCAAAATTGTCCTACATGAAGATGGTGTTGGAGGCACTCTGAGTCAAAATGCCAAGCTAGTTACTGCCATTAACATGTACACTGGGCTGGCAGAGGTCTGGAATCTAGTTAGATACAATAAGAGATTGTGTCTCCTGATCGTTCCACACCCCTTTAGTGGCATACGTTAATAAAAAATACTTCAGGGTTTCAGACAAGAGAGTTTGAAGACTTGTTAATAGAAAAAAAATGGAGAATTAAAATTATTGGAGTTAAAATATTATTTTTGTGCTGTCCATTAAAAACAAAATGGCACGTTTTCCAGCCCTGAGCAGGCACCATGAGATTGCAACACTTTTCATGCTTCTGGTTTGAAGCATGTGTAGCTGTTTTTTATTGAATTTGAAACATTGAATTCAATTTTTAAATCACATTGTATATTGCCCTGCAGCTACTTTGAAGAGCACTCAGGATGAATACAACAAGAAAGCACTTCAGGCTTTGGAGAGGTGAGTAAGAATGGTACTTATTCCTGTATTACCTAGTTCCTTTGATGAATCCAGAATAATTTTAAAAAAAAATGTTTTACTTTCTGTATGATGTTACTCAGAAATTTTAAAAACACTTCCATAAATTTCAGCAGTCACATGTCAAAAACATCCTTGTGATGGTGAAATGTGGCAATTATTTGGTTGAATATCCAAGGTAAGAGTACTTGTTCTGCCTCTAAAAGCATTGTGCAGGTGGTAGGACAGTTAACGTTTATAAGCGTAAATGCTTACAGATCTCAAGTGGCAACTAAATGGAAGCTTATGTGGTCTAAGTCTTGGACTGAAGTATCCAATTCTGGTTTTGTTGTGGTCCTAAATGCATTATAAAAAGTGATGAAAACTTGAATTCTTTGGTATCTCCAAGTACAGATACTGTACAGTGTAAGTACAGTACAGATACAGTAGCAAGTTGAGCACTTTACTGGATCCTAGCTGCTTTTCTGATGCTGTCCAAAACATTTTTCCTGCAGTGATTGCAAGGAGCAAGTGGTAGTAGAAACTTGCTGTTGCCAAACTGAAACTACAAATGTAATTCTGGATATTTACCCCATAAGGATCTGAAAGATTAGAAAGTATATATTTTAAAAGCCATTTGTATGGTCACTATTTAGATCAGCAGTATACTTAAAGTCACACCAATTCCCAGGCTCCAATGTAATACCTTCACTACTGCCCAATTTTTCGGTAATTGCAGTGCTGCAGTGCTTTTAAAGTGCATTTATTTTTATGCTTTGACCTTTCCCACTGGCTGTAGCTGGTCTTCCCCGTATTTTAACACTAGCTAGGAAGCAGACAAGCTTCTAGTCAGAAATTAGGTACTCAGATTTCAGCCAGCAGGAGTGTTCTGACAGTAACTGCTACTATCTCCCTATATGCGTTTGTTTGGTTTTCTTTTCCTTGTTGGGTTGTTGTTTGTTTTTTTTTTTTCCCCTTGTTTTTCACCTCTTTTTACGTTACTTCTAGAATTTCTCAGACCACGGTTTGGCTTGTAGCCATCCTTATCAGTGGCCTTTTCAGCTGGAAGTTTGAATGAAGTATTTTTCTAGTACATTTTGAGGAAATTTAATAGTAGTTTAAAAACTCTGTCTCTTTTCTGTTCCCCCTCAGTCTTCTTTTCTCCAGGCTGAACAGACCCAGGTTACTCAATCTTTATACGGGAGATGCTCCAGGCCTTTGATCATCTTTGTGGCCCTCCTTGATCTGCTGGCCGTGGTCTTTTTAATTAACCCTAGGATTCCGTTGGCCTTCTCGGCCACCAGGACACACTGCTGGCTCCTCGCCAACCTGTTGTTCACAGGAACACCCAGATCCTTCTCCACAGAGCTCTTCTCCAGCAGATCATCCCCTAACCTGTACTGGTGTTCCTAGCCAGGTGCAAGATGCTACACTTGCTCTTTTTAAACCTCACCACTAGGTTAAACTAATTGTTCCCTCTCAACTCTCCTGTCTGTCCAGGTCTTGTTGAATGGTAGCACAGCCTTCTGGTGTGTCAGCCACTCCTCCACATTTGTATCATCAACCTTACTCAGTTTTTATTTCCAAATTCCTTGATTTTTCATTTGCTTATGCTTGGCAAATGAGTAGTTTTGGCAGGTTTCTAATCACTAGCCTTGCCAGCTTGTCATTTCTTCCTCATAAAGACTTTTGACTGTGATTGCTTTGAACAGTGCAGTGCAGGTGCAGGCTTTTTTATCATCCCCGAGCACCACCCATGAAGAGGTCAGGAATGTCAGCTTGCTATAATGAACCTTCCTCTTCTCCATCTTTCCTATGTGCAATGGCTTTACTGCATGACAGAGAGAGGAGCGAGCTTCTTGCATCTGCAACTCCCTCGACGGGGAAAATCCACTGGTATTGGACATGGGCTGCTACATGGCAGGAGCCAGTGTTCAGCATTGCTGCTAGGTTAGGTACCTTAAACTTTGCCTGGTAGTTAGCCTGGTTAAGGGCTTCTCTGCAGAGTGGTGAACTCAGGTTGCATTTTCATGCTGAGCATAGCTGGGGAGGAATGGTTCTTCCCTGTCTGTCCATTCCTGCTTCTGGCCTTGCAGAAGCCACACTGAGTTCTGGAGATGCTGCAGTCTTCACTAGCCAAGCACTTTCTGCAGTATGAACTATTCCTAGCCATTGACCAGAAGATAATATCTGAGAAGTCCAAGCTGGTTTAATGGGAGAAGCCCTAGCCTGAGACACAAAGGCTCTGGTTCTCAACCAGAGGTTCTCAACCTCTTCTGCCATCAAAACCTCAACCCTCCCACTGAATCTTCCTTTTTCAAATTAGGAGCACGCTGTCAACAGTTAGAATAGGAGCTTGTAGGGTGGAAGATATTTTGCGTTTGGGCATTAGCTGATATCTTGGGCTCCTGATCCTGTTCATAGCCAAAAGAGTAGCAGAAATGATGATTACTTTTTGGTGCCAGCCCAACCCTCTCCTATTACTTGAAAAGTGGTAATACAGAAACAAGTTAAACAGCTATCTTGTTTCACCTAAATTACTTAAAATAATGCCTTAAACAGTTGGTGTCATGAGTTAAAGCTATTTTCTCCATTAGATGTTTACGTTCCAAAATATGTGCTGACAAATGAACATTTAAGTTATATAAACCCTGCCAGTTGTATTTTTCACCTGTTTTCCTGTGAGCTTGGCTTATCCAGGTAAGTGTCAGTGTACTTTTTGTCAAGTTTCAGTATGCTATCCCATTACTGGTCTAGTTTTCTATTGGACAGGGCTCAGATTTGTTCTGCTCGTGTGTGAGTCCTGGCAACGTAGTTGTAGAAAGTACAGTCTAACAGTCACTTTTCTTTTTGTGTTGTGTTCTTAAAGAGCACGGGAATTGGACCGAGACGATCACCAAATCATCCTCTACTTATCGCTGCAGCTGGCTCTTGTCAGACAGGTATGTGCAATAATTAGCAACCACTGAGGCATTAAGAAGGTGGGAGAAGGACAGTCATTGTACAAGATCAAGCCGTGCTAGACAGGGTTCATTCCTACCTTCATTAGTAGTCAGTAACAATCAGAATTTGTTTGTGTAAGATTTTTATTTTTTAAAGCAGTAATTCCACAGTGCGTGTGACCCCTGGGAATATCGTTCCCAATGTTTTTAGCCCTAGCTTCTGGGTGGTGCCGTTCCCACTCTGAGCAACTTTGTCTGGGTAGGCTGAGTGAGAGGTATTTACTCTGGATATCATGCTGCGTCCTGCCACAGGCTGCTCTTGTTACTGCCTGGTTCTGTATCACACCAGATCTCGCGTTCTCAGCACTGGGCACTGGTTTATTCCATACTTGGGCACATTCAGCGTTAGACTTTGACGGGTGCTGGAGCTCTGCAGTGAGTGGGATTAGTTGGCATTTGAATGCTGCTGCAGGTGTTAGTTCATAAACATTACACTGATCAGTAAATACACTGCACCATCTTATTTCTCTGTCCTTCTTTTTGAAAGCCAAAGACTTTATTGGAGTTGTCTCTATTTATTAAATGCTCTTCTAGCTAGATTTGATATTTCATGGCCTTTTCCTTCTTTGGCAGGCTTTCTGCTTGCTGCATCCAGAGTCAAAAAGTTGGATCCTTTTTACTTTTCTGAGATAATTAGGGGAGTTGTGTGTTCATTAGGTTAAACTAACTGTTCCAGGAGAGCATGCTCTTGATAATGTCGCTTTTGTAACCCTTTAATGAGAGTGCTGTGTTGTGAGGAAGCTTGCAATAAGAAAGGATAATTAAAATGGCTTACTTATGTTGTCATCAGCCTACTGCCTGCTTTATGATGCGGTTTGCTCAGGGTCTTTGATTTAAAAATACCCAGGTACCCCTCTTTCTCCCACAGCTTCTGCCTCTCAGGGATGTTGTCTGATTTGCTGCCCCTTTTGCTTCTTGCCCAGAGTAAAAGCATTACAGCTTTTCAACTGCTGCTGAGAATAAAAATATTTAAAGTAAAAGAGATTTTTGTGGTTATTTGTTCTTCTCTTTACTGGACTATTGCAGTTTAACTCATTATGCTTTCTTTTTCTCCAGTTATAGCCTTTTTTTTACAGTGCTGTTTCATGTTCATCTTTTCATTATTCTTTACCTCCCCCCCCCTTCTTTCCTTCAAACTCTTGTCCTTATGTTCACTTTCTCCTATGTCTTCCTCACCTGTATGTTCTTATCCTTGATGTTTTGCCAGTGGCCTTTGCTACCCTAGCTGTGTGATGTAAGTGTGTTATGTAGTGTCAGCCTGAGCCCTGCTGTGTTGCTCTTGCTCTTCACCATCTAGTGAGATATAAATCTTTAACGCATGCTTGGAGAGAGGGAGATACCTGAGATATCTTTATTTTTAGACTGCTGTAAAATATCATACTCTTCTTTTGCCAGTTTACTCAATGATAAAAATTTGGTAATGTGTTTTTAATATGCTTAATTATTTAATGTATCTAATATATTATCTTTCTGATTAACTGAAAGATAAATTATACCTTTTTTTTTTTTTTTGATAGGTTGCATTAACTATTGAATGTCACAGGTAGGGTTTCCATCAGGCTATGCTGTAGTACCATACACAAGATAATAACTGATAATACCTCAGCAATCAGCCTTTTTGTTTCCATAGCCAAGGTCAATAAGTGGTCAATTTCATACCTTACCTGTATGAAAAATCTAGATATCAGCTTGCATAGATAAGAGAGCATTTTCATGGAACAAAGCAAAAGAGGCAGATGACTGGTAGAGTGCTGAATAAAGTTTGAGCCATCATCTTCCTTGGAAGACTAAAATATTTCCACTAGCAGTCAGCCGTCTGCCAGCACTGGGCACATGGAGGGAGAAATGGAAAAATATAAGCCTCCCTCCAAAAAAAATTGAGAACACGGCAAGAAGGAGAGTGGTTATAAAAAGTTTTCATGGAGTTGGATGTTGAATACTATGATCAACCAGAATGAAAGATGGCGTCATGCTTGATGTTCATGGTATGGACTGTGTCTTAAAGAGCAGAGTAACTGGAAGGACTCCAACAATTCTCAGAGAGTCTGGGTCAGCCCCAAGGCATTTTACAGTGGATTTTTCAGCAAAATATAGTAAAATTCCATCCTCTGTGACGAGAGTCTCACTTTGATTTTCTCCTTATGTGACAGTGCCATCACTCTGAGGTTAGCTGATGCTGAGGTGGGTTTCTCCAGGTACATCTAGATCATCAGTCTGATGACCACTGGCCAGGCCAGTAGACAAGCCAGGCTCCCAGCTCTGGGCTGCTGGTTCAGCTGCCTCTCTTGTTTCTGTGGTAACAGAATGTGGATCAGCACAAACAAGGTAGCCTGAAGATTTTAAAGCTGACTGATTTTTAATGCCTTGCCTTGCTTTTTTAGCAGGCCAGTTTCTATGGAAATGACTCTAGAGAGTCAGAGCTCATGTTAATTTTAAGTGCTGATTCCATTCTCCTTTTGGGGATGGTGTTCTGTGTTGTGTGTTTTTTTTTTTTTTACCTCAAATGCCATGTAAATCACTACCGGATACATGAAAACAACACATGGGTTTTCATACCATTTTAATATTTGATTTGACCTTTCTTTACATGAAAATAGGAAGGCAAAGACAGCCAGGGCCAGCAGCTGAGAATTAAGAGGTCTCACTTAGCAATTTCGTCTGTGGGCTGCCAGCAGACCCGAAGTTTCAAGTGGCAATATCCAGAAAACACCTACTGCCTTCCTTCCAGTATATAAAAAACAGAAACAGGAGTTATGAGTACCAGCGAAAACATTTCAGTTGTTTTCTCTGCAGTTTTTATTCTGGTTTCAGGGAGGGGCAAATGTGTTAGCTTTTGTTTGCCTCAGGAGAGGAGCTCTGTTTCCATTTAGTGGCTGCTAACGGGGATAGCTCTGTTCTTTGTCCCAGACCTGCTAAGGCCTTCTCTGCTGAAGAGCAACATGCAGCTTTTCTGTCAAGGTCTTGATTTTTCCAGTGATGAAGAACAACTTGCAGCAAGAATTAAGTTCTGACATAGCTCACAGATTTGTTCATGCTTGCTTTCTGATGGTGTGCAGCAGGTCTGTTTTGAGCAAACATTCTTGACTGTCAATGAAGCTTTCTCTTTTCTCTAATCCTTGTACTATAAAGGCAGATGGAAAGGGATAGCTTTAGTGGTTAATTAACTGCAACTCACAACTGATATGAAAATGTAAGGTTTGAAAACTCATTTGGATCAAATACTTATGAAATCCTATTTCATTTAGCACTCTCAATATGTAGGTGCATTCTACCATTGTGAAATGGTAGAAAGACATCATACTATTTTCCTTTTTATACCTACAGTTATAACTTCCAAATGGTTTTAAGGAAGCATGTAGCATTATCAAAATAAAGCCTATTATAAGAGGCAGTCTAAACAATCCACAGTATTTTATTAGTGCTGCAGGATGCTATTTCTGGCTTGCTGCAGTATTTTTGCTTCCTGATCGATGTCATCTGAACGTACCTGTGTGCCATGCAGAATAGATGTGGTATATTTATTAATGGAAAGACGAATCAGAGAAGGGTAGAATGGTCTAATTGCTGGCTCCACTTGGACTTGCTGTCCAGCTGAAATAGGATTACTTTAAGGCGTAGCACTTGTGGGGAATTTAAACTGGCAGCCTACCTCTGAGTTTCAGAGCGCCATCTGTGCTGCCAGCTTCCATCTTTCTCATATTACATAGTTACTTAAATAAATAAGCTTTGGCTTCTTCAATAGATCAATGATCTCTACTTTTCAAAAGAAGTTTGTGTTTGCTGCTGCCAAATATCTTGTTTTTATTGTTCTAGAAATTCAGTTTAAATTTTGTTGTGACTGTTTTGTTGAAAGTTGTTATTGTGTGTTTCCTGTAGTTGAAAAGAATATCCAGAAATTATTAAAGGGTATTTTTTTTTTACTGGTGTTGACCACTGCAGCAGGAGAACTGTAGGCTACTAATGGTGTTACAGGGCTAAGGATTTTTGGGGGGCTTGAGTTAGAATAGTTAGGGGTCAGGCAGCATGACTAATGTCCAAAACCTGTCATTTCCTGCAACTCCACAACAGGTTGCTCAAGACCCCCTCTGGTTTGTTGTTTGTTTGTTTGTTTTAGACCTGGGGGTAATGAAAGTCTTGATGGCAGTCTTATTTTAGCAAGCCAGATTTATACATCTCTGGTGTACCTCCTGAACACCTTCATAGACTGGCAGACCTGGACCTACAACAGTCTCACATCTGTTGTCCTGCATCCAAGTTCTGTTGTCATTGACAGCGTTTTTACATAGTAATGAAGAAGTGTCCTAGGAAGCTGCTGAAGACTCATTGATGATTTCAGTCAATATATTTACTCTAGCTTTGCAGTATGCTACAATAACACATGACAGACAGTAGTTCATTAAAGCCGAGAACTCAGTCGTATATCCAAACCTGAACCTAGGCCAGGACACTCAGCAGTGTCACCAGATGCCAGTTTGGGGTTATGTCTGTGGATCAATCACTTATCTGCAGGCTTGCATGAAGGCACCAGTAATTACTGTAGTTAAGTATTTTTGCTTGCTTAAGTGCAGTAAGAGTGAAAAGTCATTTGGACATTTGCATGAACAAAATATGGACTGGTCTCTCAGAAGTATGTCTTGGATCTAGATGTTCCACAGACTGTTGTGACTGCAGGCAGTGTAATGGCTGCTCTCCATTGTTATGTGCAACCTCTTCTGAGTGAACTGTGGAGGTGGTGGGAATTTCGCACTGGTGTTACGCCAGGCCAGAAGAAGAAATCTGTGTATTGTTCTGCAAGCTTTCAGGGCCAAACACAGATCTGGAAAGAAGCAAATAAGAATAATTTCTAAACTAGAGGAACTTAGAGAAAATTCTCTATGTAAAACTTACTGGTAATCAAAGAAAAAAGATCTACTAAAAAATTCCTTTTTGAATATATAGCTTAAGTTACTTGGTCACTAAGATCTTGTGATATAAATGCATTCGTTACAGATGTTAGGTTTTATGCCAAAGGGGACTTGATTCTAAAAGGCATGCCACTGATGTGTCTGGACTACTCTGCCCATCCTAGAGGATGGAGTTGGAAATTGGGCCCTTGTAGCGTGTTTTTACAGTGTAAAAGCACCATGGATTAATTGGGTCTAGACTGCTGCTCCTGCTCATAAGCAGTAATTCAATAATGCTGCAGACTTTTTGCTAGAATGTGTGGGTTTTCTCAAGCAATGCAGCCTGTTAATTTTGGCAGACTGTTCAGATAGTAAAACTCTTCCTCATAAGATGCCCAAATAAGATTTTTTCAGAATTTCAAATGACTATATTTGCTCTTATCTTTGGGAATATCTGAAGGAGAAAAATGTTTTCTTTTTATGTCTACCCCATTTCCTTCCAGATTTCTGATGCTATAGAATATCTTCAGGAAGCACTACAGCTGTGCAAAGATGACATGAACTCACTACATCTACTGGCCCTCCTCTTTTCAGCTCAGAAGCACTATCAGCATGCACTGGAAGTTATCAACATGGCTGTTGTTGAGTACCCAGAAAGCTTTAGGTAAGAGTTATTACACATTTTCTTATGTGGTGCATCCACTTAGGAATGATGCTAACTAGCTCTTTTCTTCTTGGTTATGCATCAGAAGCCTGTTAAATCAGGTGCTACTAGTATGTTACTCTGCATGTAGGTATACTGTAAAGCTAAAATATGTGAGGCTCAGTGTATTTGTGTGTGTGTGTGTGTGTGTGTGTGTGTGTGTGTGTGTTCATGGTCTTTATATAGTAATCCTTGTGTTTGCTTGCTTTTCTGCTGTCTGCCTTTTGGTATTGTGCTTGATGGTATTTTCTTCTACATACATTCCTGTGCATTTCTATACATCACTTTTCACATGTAGAGGAATGAGTTTGAGACACCTATGATGATGTCTTTATCAAGAATTGTTTTGTAATTTGGTGAACTTCCTGGTTAAAGAGAAAATATCATTCATATATTGACCATTGGTTTGATTATCATATATGACACAATTTGCTGCAATAACACAACTGGGGGAAAAGAGCAGTTGAGTGTCACAAACTGTAATAATGTGTTGTTGAAAAAATGGTTTGGCTGCCTAAAACCAGGTTTCAACCAGCACAGATTTCCTGGAGCAAGAATTTTCCACTGTTTCCACTATGGACACTCGAAGACAGCTAGGGCAGTTGGTGGATGAGAAAGAAGAAACTGGTTCTATGGTAAACAGAATATTTGCAATATTAGGTGAAGCAACTTGTAGAAGTCTGGGATCCTTTCTCTAATACTCATAATCTATGTTTCAGAAGGGGGTCAGAACAAAGAAAACATGGTGTGCAAAGTCAGCTTGAAGGGTTGCTGGGTAGATTGCTTTGTGATGTCTGGCAATCTGATTTCTCTAAAGCAGGAAATAACATTTCCTCTGCTTCTCAGTGGCAGTCTTCATAGAAAAAAACTTGCAAGGAAAAGCAGAATGGTTTGTTTCTGTGAGAAGTGTAACAGTGAAAACCACAGGTTCATATCTACTCCTAGATGCAGAGTTGCTAGAATGTGTGCTCTTTTGCTGTTGTATGTGGTGTTTCATGTAACACAACTGGCAGAGGGGCTCATTTACAGATATGCTAGGGTACAGGAGCAAGGCTGGCTTTGTGTTCAGCTGCTCTGAGTAGCCTGTCTCTGTGAATCTTGCTCTAAACCCACCAACTGATGAGTGAAAGAACGGAGAAAGAATGTTAGAGTTGCAAGAAAGAAAACTGGAAAGAAAAAAAAAAGCATTTATAAAAATGAGAATTAAAAAAGAACAACAGAAATCCAGTGGAGGGAGAAGCAAAAATAATATACATAATATAAGTATACAGTTTAAATATACCAAGTATTGCAACTGTTTCAGTCTTTGAAAAAGGATCTAAGTGCAGCTTGTGATAGGAGAGCTCTACTCATTGTGAAACTTCTTTGTAGGGAGAGAGAGCTGATGCTGTTATGTAGCTTTAGTTTTAACTGCCTTGAAGGAAAATTGTGGTATGTTGAACTGCTGCATGAAATAACTATAGTTTACCTTATGTAAATGGTACAGGCAAGTTCTACTGCATTATTTTAAAGCTATGTTTAAAAGTGGTTGAATATTCTTCCCAGTTCTCATTGATAAGAACCAGGCAACTGTGTAATCTGGTGTCTGAGTGTTCCTTTACTAATGACAACTCTTCTTGGATACATAGTTTGATTGCGTGTACCGATATGCCAATGAAAGCAGATGAAAGCTGCTTTAAGGGACCTTAGAGCACTATACAAGGCAAAACATGAAAGTATTACCTGAATGTATACCCTAAACAAAAGAGAGAATAATACGTAAAAATAACACATAAAAATTAAGTTCTCAATTAGCCCAAACATCTACTGTTTCCTTGGTCTCTTGCTGTATATAATTAAGATGAGTTTGCTCCTACTTTTTTTTTTTTTTTTTTCCATTGAATTGTTTCAGTATGTATTTTAAAGAAATAGTAATTCAGAATCACATAGTTGGTTAGAGTAGTTCTCTATGCTGCATTGCTGAGCTAACATGCAACTTTCTTTGGTGTGAGCCCCATAAGACTGACCTAAATATGTCTGGAAGTGCCCCTTGATGAAGTGCTTAAACTTACACATTTACTTGACAGTTCAGTGCTCTGTGTGGTGCATAGTGAGCAGAGATAGAAAGACTAGACCCTCAGAACAGTGAGAGATGAACTGAATGTTTTGGATCTAGCCATTGGAGCAGAATGTTAAAGAACAGCTGAATATCCAAAAGCACTACAAGAAAAATGTACTTAGGAAGAGCACTGTTGCTTGAAAAACTGTGTTGTAAAAAGTACATTACATTACAGTCTGACTGTAAATGACTGAATTTGAGCACTTGAATGTATCTTCAAGCAAGACAGAAAAAGATTAGATAGAGGAAGAATGGGAGCTACCTAGGTTGGAAACATTGCAAGGTGGGGTCAACCAAAATACGTAGTATGTATGTCATATTTACCATTGCTGAAAAAGATAATATCATAGAATCAGAGAATCACTCAGGTTGGGAAAGACCTTAAAGATCATCGAGTCCAACCACGACCTAACCATGCTATCCTAACCAACAACCCTCTGCTAAATCATGTCCCTGAGCACCACATCCAAATGGTTTTTAAACACATCCAGGGATGGTGACTCAACTGCCTCCCTGGGCAGCCTATTCCAGTGCTTAACAACCTGAACTTACCCTGGAGCAACTTGAGGCCATTTCCCCTCATCCTGTCACCAGTAAGAAGAGATCAACCCCACTCTCGCTGTAAGCACCTTTCAGATGTCGGAAGAGAGCAATAAAGTCTCCCTTCAGCCTCCTTTTCCCCAAACTGAATGGCCCCAGTTCCTTCAGTCTCTCCTCCTAGGGCATATTCTCCAAGTCCTTCACCAGCCTCGTTGCCTTTCTTTGGACCTGCTCCAGCACCTCAATGTCCTTTCTGTACTGTGGTGCCCAAAACTGAGCACAGCACTCGAGGTGAGGCCTCACCAATGCCAAGTACAGGGGCAGGGTAACTTCCCTAGTCCTGCTCACCACACCATTCCTGATACAAGCCAGGATGCCATTGGCCTTCTGGGCCACCTGAGCACACTGCTGGCTCATATTCAGCTGACTGTACACCAAGGTCCCTTTCCATCAGGCAACTTTCCAGCCACTCCTCCCCAGGCCTGTAGGGTTGCCTGGGCTTGTTGTGACCAAAATGCAGGACCCTATACTTGGCCCCATTGAAACTCATACAGATTGCCTTGGCTCATTGATCCAGTCTATCCAGGTCCTCTGTAGTGCCCTTCTTTCCTCAGGCAGATCAACTCTCCCTCCCAACTTGGTGTTGTCTGCAAAATAGAGATAACAGCAGTCTTTACGTGGGAGATGTCTCCTGATAAATGGCTGACTCTTACAGAAGCAGTGTGTCTAGAAAAAAGCTTTATGTTTTTGTATCCTGCTGGTGTTGGTATGCTCTTAAAATAAGTCAGTGAATGCAAGTCCACCACAATCTCAAGTATGTTTAGGAGGAAAGAATCCTGCTAGCTTCAGGTATTTCCCATGTAGGTCAGCGATGCTGATAATTATAAGTCCTTCTTAAGATGAATTCCTTTGATTATTTTCTAACTCAAAGGTCAGTGTTTCACATGGGATCAGCTGAGATTACTCTCCCAGGCTTGTCTTAAGGATTGATCTTTTACCTGGAAGAAATAATGTTAGTGAGCATCTCTTGCATCCCTCAGATGATCTACTTAAAATTAAGCATTGCTTATTTAGAAAGAAAGGATTTCCATTTGTAAAGCCTGTATTCGCATCTCACAGAATGCTCTGTGCAGAAGTCCCATAGGTCTGATAGCCTGCAGAAGTTACCACAAAGACTGGATGATATGTTCTTTCCTTCCTGTTTTACTAATGTAAAATTGGTTTTATCATTCTGACTCTCCCACTCTTTCAGAGACTGTTTTGGTCTTAGGTCATCTTTTAGTTGTACTTGGTTAGCTCCCAGCACTGGGAAACAAAACAGTTGTTAGAAAGCTGGAAATAGGCTATCAATTTTACTGATGCTCTATTGCTGTGTGATGGATCCTGGACTTCTTATCTGAACCTTTTCTGTTGTTTGCTGGCTTGTTTTTTCCCTCCTACATGGAACCCTACACTACAGTCTTAAGGCATAACTTCCAGCAATTTCTAGTCACTGCCCAGTGTGACTGTGCATGTTTTGTTAAATGATCCCATCTTCACAGCAGTTGTACATTTGACTCCTGAGTTGTAATGCTTTTAAGTGAATAGCCTTGAATATACCTTTTCTTCCTAAGCTATAAGTCAGAACTGTGCTTACAGAGTCTCAAAACTCATTGTAAAGAGAAATAACAGAGAATTAGGCAAAAAGAGGCAGGTGGGTTGCGGTTTGATAGCAGTACAGCTGTCAGTTGCAGATGCTTTTGTTCTGTCAATGTACTTGATGCTACAGAAGCAATTACTGTAAGTGTAGTGCAAAGCACTCAGAAGGCAAGAGGTATTAAATATGTATCCTGGATACTACCAATAAAGTGAAGTAAATTTTGCCTGGAGAATTGCTAGTGATGATGTTTTAGCAGAAAGCATTTTTTTGTTGTTTTGGAGGGGTTGTTTGTTATGGCCAGCCTTCGAAATACAGTCATCTTCTAGATTGTAAGTGGTCTACTGACAGCAAGTGTCCTTGACTTCATCACTACTGTACTGATTTTATTAAGGACATGTAAAGTAATCTTCTGGCAAGATTTATATTTTATAGTCTGTTGCAGACTTACTGTTGAGAGAGCAATTATGTGATATGTAAGTGATGTCATTGACCAGGTGCTTCTGCTCACTGCAAAACAAACAAACAAAGCCAACAGCATATAATCAAGATCTCAAGTGCATTACTAATGTGTCATCTCCAGTTTTTCTATTACTTCTTAGACTATGTATTTTATGTTGAAAATAAACAATTCATGCTTGCTTTGGGCAACATCTTTGGGACACTGGTGTAGTACTACTTATTGAC